CGCCGCAGCCCCGCGCCCGGCCCCGCGCCCGGCGCGCGCGACAAGGCCAAGCGGGGCCCCGAGCGAGGCAGCCCAGAGTACCGGCAGCGACGCGAGCGCAACAACATCGCCGTGCGCAAGAGCCGCGACAAGGCCAAGCGGCGCAACCAGGAGATGCAGCAGCGGCTGGTGGAGCTGTCGGCCGAGAACGAGAAGCTGCAGCGGCGCGTGGAGCAGCTCACGCGGGACCTGGCCGGCCTGCGGCGCTTCTTCAAGCAGTTGCCCGGCGCTCCCTTCCTGCCCGCGGGCTCCGCCGATGGCCGGTGACGCGGCGCGGCCGGCCGCACCTGGACACCTCGGGGCGGGGCGGCCGGAGCGAGCGGGGCGGAGGGAGCCGCCAGTCCCCTAAGTTATTGCGGAGCCCGGCCGCCTGGCTTTGCGTCGCCGCCTGGGACTTCTGTACGAGGAAACGACTCCGACAGCCCTTTTGTATTGTGGCTAGGAGGGAAGGACTGCGCATGCCTTTTTATATCGATTTTTACAGATTTGTAAGAATAAAGAAACATTTCAAATCGCTGTAGGTCCGGGTCGCAGTCACTCCCGCCCCCGTGGGAAGGGCGAGCAAAGGCCGCGGTCCACGTGCGGGGAGCTGCCGGCCTGGAGTGCGGGGTGCGCGGTTCTGCACAGCCCGGCGGAGCGCGGAGCACACGACCCCGCAGCGCCGGGCGGGTGGGGCAGACGGGGACCGCCGCCCAACGTCGGACGGCTGCCAAGGGACCAGAGGTAGAGCAGGGCTCCAAAGTCCCGAAACCAGATTGCGCCCGCTCGCGCGCGGCTTTGCTTTCACTTTCCTGTTTTAAGGGATTGAAAACTTTCAGTGTGCATCAGGATACACACTCGTGTAGACAAAGACGGCACCCCAGGTACGGTCTGAAATGCAGTACGCGGTGCTTGAGGACTCACTCCCAAGTTCTGTGCCTTAATAAGAAAACTGGGTGTTAGGTACTTTTGCTTTGCTCTCGGCAGGTAAGTATACGGTGTAAGGAACCATAGCCCGCTATGTTACTATAAGAGAGAAACAAAATCTTCAAGTGTCCGAATAGATTTAACTCGCGGCTTTGTAATTTAAATCTGTCTGGATGGTGAACTACTCAAGTCTGTAATCTCTCCCCTCTGCAGTTTTCCGTGGCAGACAGGTGTGTGGTGGGGGTGGGCTGCGGGGAGCTCCCATCACACCCAACCTATCCACACTATGGGTGTCGGTGTCATGTCTGACAGTTCCTAATCCCCCCAACACCAAATCACGAAGTGTTTGGGTTGGATATTTACTTGCTGTAGCAGAGAAGTCACATCTAAATGTGAGATAAAAGTTTGAGCTTTACTGGGTATTCTTTTGGGGGAATATTAAAAACTACAAAGAAAAAATGTAAGATCACAGTAAAGGCTTCAATATTTTAAAGCGACAACTGAAGAAAACTTTACAGGGATATCGTCATTGCCTAAGTAAATAAAAAGGCGAAGACGTCAGGAAGCTTTAGAAACACATCCCCCAATTTGTAGGGAGGTGATACAGGTGCAAAGAAGGTATTTTAGTTTACAAAACTATTTTAACTTTTCCAGAAAAAAAACTTCAATTAAAAATCATAAAATACTATCTGGAGTTAATCCCCCCAACCCCCACCCCCACTCCCACCCCACTGCAAAGTTCATGGATCCCAAAAAGGAGATTGGTTGGCCGTGGCTCCTCCTCTCAGCTCAATTTCCTCCAGTTCAATGCAGTTGGCTGGGTGGGTGGTGACGGACTGGACGAAGCAGAGTAAGGACCCCATCTCCTTCCCGAGGACACTCTCCACTTCGTAGCTCTGCAGTGATAGAGGCATACTGGTTAAACAAACAGTGCTGATGGTCTTTTCCCAACAGCTGCAGCCAGAGCAGAGGCCCTACCCAAGCTGCAGCCTTCCTTTTTCCAATGAAAAATGTTTTTCTTTTGGGGGGGTAGAATACTACAGACATTCCCTTTGTTATAATAAATGATGAACGGTTTTATTCTCATAACTCACTTCAGCTTTTAGACAACATTTAAAATACTGGTGGTTTTAGTGGCTGCCAGAATAAACTGGCCTAGGAAAGGACTGGGATTGTGCAGGGCACTGGTGTCATCCCAGCGGGGCTGGGCTCTTGGCTTGCGTCTGTCTTCCACTTCCTTTGGGGTATACTTCCCCAATCTAGCAACATTTCTGGTCAAAGGATTTCCTGGTATTTTGCCCCCAAACTTCCCTCTTCAACAGGATTTCATTTCTTCTTGAGTTAAGTGGGGCCAAACATTTCTTTCTGTGTTGTGGTAATAACACTTTTTATTTACATGGTTAATCTTGGGAAAATTTCATCTCCAGCCAAGGATTATAGTCCAGCACTGGCTGGGCTTTTACAGATCCAATTGCAGAGCACTTTCAGTGAGTATGGGGCTAAAAATAAAAGCTCAGACTTCAGGATGGATGTGTTGCTACCTCTGGTCTCTGGGAGACTGACACCTGAGAGGTGATGGCAATTGTGGAGGAATGTGCGCCTGACCAATCTCTACATCATCATGTCACATACACACAAACATACGTTATATTACACACATATGGCCATCTACTGTCAAGGTGTGAAGACAAGGAGACAGAAAATATGGACAACACAGGTAGACTGTGACTCCTGGTGCTCTACCTGTGCCACTGATCTTGCTCTAAGTCTGGGTTGGTCACAGTATGCTGTGGAAGGGGCACAGTAATGTCCCAAGTTCAGTTAGCAAAGGTGGCCAGCCCGTCATGCACTGTGAGGAAATTGGGCCAGACCCCTGGCTGGGGACTGAAGGAGGCTCTGCTACTGTGGCCCTGCCTTGGTGGCATTAGCTGATGTCCAGTGTGGCAGAGATGAGTTGTTCCAGTGGTGCCCTGCATGGCATGTAGTGTGTGCAGAATGCTTAAGTACAGTGAATTTCAGCGTCAGTCTGGGAGGTGAACATTACTCTGATGTTGACTCGGTTTCTCAGTGTAACTTACCTAAATGCATTTTCTAAGTTTTTGGATTCCTTAGTAAAAGTGAGTTGAGGTCAGGGTGGTTCAGCAGTCTGATGGGAAAAGTGAGAATTCTTGGTCCAGAAGGAAGAGACTTGACAGAGGTAAGTGCTCATGTGTGGTCTGGATGGCAAGTTCATGACCTGCCCATCCTGAATTTCTTATGAGCCAACATGAAAGAGACAGCAATGAACAAGGCAATCGGGACTGCTGGTCTGGACAAAGTACCTGACAGTGCAGGGTAGTTGCTAGGGAGATGGATGAGGGGCAGCCAAGTACTCCATTAGTGTCTCTTGTACAATTTTAGTTAGCTAATAACTAAGTGTGAAAAGATGACAGGTATTCCCATGCTGCTTTGGGGGTAAAGAATGAATTCTTGGTTTTGTTTTGAGATGGGGTCTCATGTAGCTGAGGATGACCTTGACCTCCTGATTCTCTTGCCTTAACTCTCAAGTGCTGGGATTACAGGTGTGTACCACCACACACTCAGCTCAAAAGTGTGGAATTCAAAAATGTCAGTGAAAAATCATTTCTATTTAAAGTGTTGGGTTTGGTAGTATCACCTATGAATGAAGTTTAAATTATAAATCATATGTTTGGTGGAAATTAGTAAACATCCATACTAGAAAATTTGTGCACTGTTCATATGAATTTGCATGTAAACTAAGTATATAATTTTACAAATTATCTATTTAATTTTGTGTCTTTAAAATAAACCGGCAGGGCTGAGACTGAACCCAAGTCTTTGTACGACCAGGCAGTTGCTACTCCTACTAGTTATAGCCCCAACTCCCTGTGTTTCTATCTTATTTATTTTTGGTCTTTTTGTTTTTTTAAAATATTTTATTTATTATTTTATGTGTGTGCATGTATTACCTGCATGTAGATAAGTGCACCCATGTCATGCAATGCCCGCAGAGGACAGAAGAGGCTGTTGGAACCCTTGGGACTGGAGTTACAGACAGTTGTTAGCTGCCATGTGGGTGCTGGGATTTGAACCCGGGTCTTCTGCAAGAACAGCTAGTGTTCTTAACCACTGAGCCATCTTTCCAGCCCTTTTTTAGGTCTTTTTGAAACAGGGTCGCCCCGTAGCCCCAGCTGTCATGAAACTCATTACGTAGACCAGGCTGGCCTTGAACTCACAGAGATCCACCTGCCTCTGCCTCCCAAGTGCTGGGATTAAAGGCATGTGCCACCACGCCCAGCCTTATTTTCTTCTTTTAAAAAAATACTTTATTACTTTTATTTTATGTGTATGAGTGTTTTGCCTGCATGTGTGTAAGTGCACCTATGTTGTGAAATGCCCAAAGAAGTCAGAAGTGGGCTTCAGATCCTCTAGAACTGGAATTAGGACAGCGGTTAGACACCATGTTGGTGCTGGGAACTGAACCCAGGTCCTCTGCAACAGCAGCCAGTGCTCTTAACCCCTGAAACATCTCTCCAGCCCCTCTAATTTCATTTAAAGACACTATATGTGTACCTTTTTTGAAAGTTAAGGGAACAAATTTCACACTCCGTATCACCATAATGTTGCAGGAAGAAATAATATCTGCAACAAAAGCCAATTTTATTGTTTATACATCTGTAGCTTGACCATATTAAATGCCTAAAAGTTAGCACTCATGGATCTTAACTAGAAACAGTCACTTGTTGCAGGGATTGGAGCTATGGTTCTGATGGGGAGTCCTAATTTGATTCTCTGGATTCTGGAGAATATGCATTCTCACCCGGAAAGCTGACAGAGCCCACAGTACCTTGCAGCTGTGTCTACACAGAAGCCTCCGGTAGCCATCTTCTATCAGGCTCCACTCCAGGTCAGAGGTAAAGGCCCTGTGAGCCAGTGTGAGCAACGCTGGGGGTGGGGAAAGAGCTTGCTAAAAGGTGCCTTCAGGCTTGAAATGTCCCATTGTTCCACTGCTGTGGACTCTGAAATCAGAGTATCTACAAAGGTAACACTTGAAGCCGTGATCTGTGTCATTTTATCCTACACCTGTGCACATGTGTGTAAGCTGACAGACAGACATGCACACACACTAGTGAAAGCATACACATACATACAACAGATATTCAAGTAGATGCATATACAGGCATATGCACTCTGGCACAGTCATATACGCATGAACAGACACCTACATCTGTGTCATTAGGGTTTCACCCACAAGAGCATTATGGTTGAGATTTTAAGTGAGAGAAACGACACCCTGGCCAGCAGGAAATCAAGGGAAGGTGAGAAGGTTTCTACCAGGGCCTCCTGGTGTTTGGATCCCTAAGGAGACATGGGATTAAAGGTGTGCACCACCACACCTGGCTTGTTATTTATTCTTAAGCAGGGGTTTCCATCCTTCCCCCAACTTTTTCCACAGGGTATATTTCCGAAAACCCTGATCTGCCGTCCTTAGCTCCTACCGAAGCGCCTACCGAAGCCCTACCGTCAACTGGAAACCTCTGACATCAGCTTTGGTGGTCCCTGATCCAGCACTAGTTTGTTCTTCATTGCTGTGACAAAACACTCTGACCAGTACCAACTTGGGGAGGAAAGGGTTTATTTGTCTTACATCTCCCAGGTCGCAGTTCATAGGGAGCCCAAGGTAGGAACTCAGGGCAGGAACTAGAGGCAGGAGCTGGAGCACAGGCCATGGAGGAACACTGCTTACTGGCTTGCTCCCCTGGCCCCTGCTCAGCCTGCTTTCTTATGCAACACAGACCCACCTGCCCAGGGGTGGCACCACCCACAGTGGGCTGGGCCCTCCCACATCACTCATCAAGAAGATGCCCCTCAGACATGGCCACAGGCCAGTCCAATAGAGGCAATTCCCCGATTGAGGCTCCCTCAACCCAGGTGTGTCAAGGTGACACTAAAGCTATCCAGCACACCAAGGATCACACAGCAGCAGGAGAGACGTGACTCCCACAAGTGGTCCTCCGACTCTACATGTGCACTGTGGCATGCACAGGCTGGTTCATAGTCTCTCTCTAAATAAATAAAGTAGTTCAGGCAGTTTCATTGTGTGACTGCAGAGCCACAAAAGCATGCTCCAGTCTCCAGGCTGTGTGGCCACAACTGAAGCCACAGGGCAAATTTCCTGAGTCTGTTTCAAGGACGATCTAGAAACAATCTCAGATCCTGGCACCCTACACAGCTGAACGGCAGTGGTACGAAGTACTCATATTCTAGAATGTAAGTGACACAGGGTTTAACAGTGGGGTTTGTTGTAGCTGAACATACACAGCAGGGAGGTCTTCCTCTAGAACAACTCCACACTCAGGTTCAAGAATACAAGGCATACCCGGGCAGGGCCTCCTTGTACTTACCCCATCCTCGGAGGCAGCAAACCTCAGCAGTGAAGAAATACTACTCTGCAACAGCTGCAACAGTAGGGAAAAGGCTGTTACACCCCAGCAAGTGGTAAATGCTCCTGTGAGGTAGTCCTGCCTGAGAACTAACATGCTCAATCTGAACTGCCTGAGAGTAAGTCTCCCAGCCTTCGTGAAGCGTGACTGTGCATCACTGCATAGAGACCAGGAAGGGTGAGCTCTCCCTTCTTCCCAAGGGAAGTTAAGGGCTAGAGAGGCCTTGAGGACATTTCCCTCCTGGCCCGAGTCCACACAGTTCTGCCACAAGGTGAACCGAACACATAAGCCCCAGCTCAGTCTCAGCCCAGAGGTCCAAACAGAGGACATGTGGAAATAAGCACACATTCCAGGTTGACGTCCTACCTTGACCTTCACGGTGCTCTGCGGTCTTGTAGGGCAGTCCAGAAAGACCTGTAGGTGCCTCTTCTGAGGAGGTGACATGACCGGCCGGAAACAGTCCACACAGAAAAAGGTGCCTCTGATGTGTGAAGACACAGTGAAGGTGAGCAACCAGGGAGACATATAGCAGAAACTCTACACCAAAGAGATACGTTCTCTAGACATAAATGTCTGCTGAGGGGAATTCTGCTGTGGCAACCAAACTGCTGGAACCAGTCAGAAGCAGTGAGGTCTGGGCTTGTTTGGACTCATTAGCCGTTGGGAGTTGCTAGGGGGTCCTTGGTAGGCAGAGAGGCATCACCTACGAGAGCATAGGGTGGAGGGTGCTTCCAGGCAGTGAAGGCCAGGCCCTCAGGAGGCCAGGTGCATGCGCTTCTTTCCCTTTGGCAGGGGAAGCTTGCTCACCACCCCTAGCATCTTTGCTCCCACACTGCTTCCACATAGACCCACGTTCCCTTGCCTCTTTGACACACTCCAGCAGTGACTTGTGTATGCATTAAGGCCACTGACTGAGTAGGCATCAAGAAAACATTTGTTCTTGCTTCTTAAGAGACAGAGAAGTAGTGGCACATGCCTTTAATCCCAGCACTCGGGAGGCAGAGGCAGGTGGATCTCTCTAAGTTCCAGGCCAACTGGGGCTACAGGGAGACACTGTCTCAAAAAAAAAAAAAAAAGTACTCTGCTGTAGGCAGAGGTCATAGGATCTCTGTGAGTTTGTGGTCAGCCTGGTCTAGATAGCAAATTCCAGACCAGCCGGGGCTATATAGTGAGACATTGTATCAAAACTAACTAACTAAAAAAAAAATAACAGACAAGTAATGAGCACGTTCTTTGGTCAGTCATATGAAAAAGACCACTTGGAAGGCAGACAAGTGACTCCAGAGAGACAAACAGCGACACCCAGTCCTGACCGCAGCCTAGCAGGGAAGGGCTATCTGCTAAGCATTTCTGGGAAGCCTGTGCCACTCTTAAGATGTGCCATACAGGCATCACCTTTGTCTTACATGTTCAAATTTGTCCTTTGTCTTTCTTCTCCTACTAATGAAGGAGCTGAGGACAAAAAGCAGCTCCTTTCTCTAAAGACAGGAGGAACTGTAAAGATAGGGTTCCCCATGAGGAAAACCATGGGGACCACAGCCTCCACCCTGCAGCTCAGCTGAGCAGGTTCCCTTCCAAGCTGTTGGGAGGCCCTCACGGAGGCTGTAAGGTTGTAGGACCCTGGAACTTGGTTACTGTTTTATCCTTAGGGCCCCATGGGCTTTAGGCCAGCCTTACCCATCTTCTGGTCTCTGTTCCAATCTCCCTTTGCCACACTGGTCACACACAGGCCATGAGAAAGCGGTATTCTCATCCACACCGACCACAGCACCTAGGGCCAGTGAGAGGAGAAGCCAAACTCACCTCTGACCCATGTCTTTGCCTCTGGAATTGCCTAATCTTAGCTCTTTTTCTTTCATAAGAACAGATAAATAAATGTATTTATTGGCTGTTAATTCCTCCTCTTACCTGGTTTTTCTGGTTTACTTAGTTATTCTGATTAAGAACATATAGACTTAAAGGACTGGGGAGATGTCTCACTGGGTAAGAGTGCTTGTTGCACAAACACGAGGACCTGAGATCAGGTCCCTAGCACCCATGTTTAAGAGAGGTCAAGCACGGCTAACACACACCTGTCACTCACAGCTGAGGGGGCAAAGACAGGAGGATCACTTGGGCTTTCTGGTTGCCAGCTCAGCTCAGGTCAGGAAGAGAACCTGTCTCAAGGGAGAAGGGTGGAGAGTGACAGAGCGGATTGTCTGATATACTCCTCCACGCGTGGCTCTATCCGCCACATACATACATGTGATATCACACATGCACATAAACATGTACGCACACATGCACACTACATAATTTATTTTCTGCCATAACACGATTCACTCAATAAGTATGTGTGTGATGTTATTTAGTATACAGTATATAGGGTACAAGAAGCATAAAGACAGATGCAGCGGCTCTGCTTCTAGTCTGGTTATGGAAGCAGGAAGGGGCTACAGTGTTGAAAAAAAAACAGAGTACAAATACCATGAGACAACATCTAAATTGAGAACTACAGAGCTCCCCCAGAGCAGTACAATGGAGAGGGTGGCTGAGGGTCAGGACTGAAGGCTGACCCAAGCCAGGCCACGCGCTACGAGGAGGCTGAATGAAGAGAGGCATGAGGAAAGGCAGGCAATAGAGCTGTGTGGTTGGCAGCAGACAGGAGGTAGAGACGGTTTCCCTGGATGTGAAGCATGCCAACTGTTCTTGGTGTGCACTGCTATACTGCAAACCATCCTTCTTGAATTGTGCTTAGATGTTAGAGGGAAAAGTAAGATGTGACCAAGTTTCTAAAACAGCAGAAGGATTTTTATTACTCTTCTGTTCCTGTCCCCCAACCCCCTCAGTGGTGCTGGTGATCAAACCCAGGACCCAGAATGGGCTAGGCAAACATTTCACTTCTGAGGTATATACCAGCCCTCATTCCCAATTTTGAAGCAAAAAAAAAAAAAAAGTCATTTTCCATTAGAACAAGGATCAGGTGACAATATCTATAGATAAAAGCGAAATTATGACAACTGTCAGGCTTGGTTCAGTAAAATGCATCCATTCAATTCAGACTTGAATGACTTCTTAAAAAATGAGGTCTTTATTTTTTAAAAGCCTGAATCAACCAATGATATTGTCCTTGAAAACCTAAGAAGACACTATTCAAAGGGATGCAAAGTAAAGTCAGTAAAGTCTTCCAGTGGAGCTGGAAAGGAATATTAGCTCATTTATAAGAAGCAGGCGCAGAAGGAAGTCGCTGGGGGGAAGTAAGGTGATGTGCTCGATGCCAGCTGATGTCCTGTACTCTGGTCAGGCTACAGTCCTGGTCTTTCTAGAATTTGTTCCCCCTTGCAGTACTAAGGATTCAATCCAGGGCCTTGTGCATGTTAGGCAAGCAGGCTGTCACCCAGCTAGAGTCCTCTCTCTAAACAAATCAATCAAAAACAGCCTGCTACTAACCAAAGTTCCTTTTTACTCCAGGATATCTGAGGGTGTTAACAGCTCTTACACTTGCGTGGCATTAAGTAATTTCCTTTCAATTAGAGAATAAGGCAAGAGCTGAGGAAATGTGTTCCATTTGGGGTCTGTAAACCATTGGAAATCATCTCAGACAACCGTAAACCAGTTTCAAAGGATGTTCCATTAAGCAATTGGGATCCAGAACATTCACTTACTTAGGTGTCAGAAAAAGAAAGCCCACTTCACTGCTTCACTCAAAGTCTTTGCTGCCTTTACTCGGATACACGGAAACCTTTCACAGTTGGGCTTGGAAAAGGGACATATTAGCTAGCAAGTCATCTTTTTAAAAAGGGGGCTTTCAAAGGATCCTGAGGGAATGTCCCACTACAGGGGTCACTTGAGGTCCTTCTGGGCTGTGCTGTCACTGCAAGCCAGTGTACAAATGTCTTCAAGAACGCTGTGCTTTCTGCTATACCACCTCCCCACAACTTCCTGATGGGAAGAAGTTGGGGCTCACAGTGTTTTTCCTTGTCTAGAGGCTGAAACCTGAGAACAGGGCTGTGCCACCTTTTCCCTGGGAAGCACAAAGCACAACTGAGTGCTGAGCACATTCATGGCCACAGGGGTGCCAGGTTTCCAGCCACTAATGAGAAGTGGATGAAGTATAGCAGGTGCTGGAGATGGCTCAGGTGTCAAGAGCACTGGCTGCTCTTGCAGAGGACTTGGGTTCAATTCCCAGCACCCACATGATGGCAACACCTGTCTGTAACTCCAGCTCCAGGGGATCTGACGTCCTCTCTGACCTCCATGGGCATTGCACACACAGGTACACTTACATGTATACAGGCAAAATACTCATACACAAAGAAAATGAATTTTTTAAATAAAGAAGTGTAAGCATTGTGAGGAAGAGAAGAAAATGCTGCAAGACTATTTCCCCAAGAAAAGGCACCTCAAAAAGCCTCTGAGGACTCTGGCTCTGATGTTCTGGGTGCACAGAGGAGCCAGCCACCCTCCACTGGCAAAGGTTGAATTCTGCATGTCCTTTTCAGCCTTGTGCTGAGAAAATGCACCACATTGAGCTGTCTAAGGCTCAAGTATTCAGAAAATTCAGTGGCTATTGAGAGCTACAGGACCAAAATCATGCAGATCTGAGGAAGGGACCATGTCAGGAGCAAGTCTGAGAGCCTCTGGGCCAGAAGCCAGTAGGGCAAGATAAAGAAGAGAGGCAGAGAGGGGGGCACCGACCACTGTCATACAGCACTGTGGACCCCTGCCTCATGTGAATTTGGGGGATCTGGAGCTAGGTCAGCTACCAGCCTTTGGGTGGAAAAGGTCAGCTGGGGGGAACATCCACTCCCCCCCCATTCTGCCTTGCTGTGGGTACTCCTGGTAAGAAGCCAATCTTTGCTTATTTTCTCTATCAGAGTATCTGGAAGCACTGTGCTCTGTGGTAACTGTATATACACTAGGCTTATCCACCCATACATCTGCAGAACAGCTTTGGAGCAGGCCGGACACAGAGAAAACCTAGAGGGAAAGTGGCATGAGAATGGTGAGACGGGGGAAAATGTCATAAATGTGGGTCTATAGGACATGAGGGAAGGAACGGGACGCAGGTTAGACACGAAGGGAAGGAACGGGACGCAGGTTAGACACGAAGGGAAGGAACGGGACGCAGGTTAGACACGAAGGGAAGGAACGGGACGCAGGTTAGACACGAAGGGAAGGAACGGGACGCAGGTTAGAAACGAAGGGAAGGAACAGGACACACCATGCTGATGCTAGTAAGGGAAAGCTGTGGCAGCTTCTTTCACTTCAGACAGCAGATCTCAGGGAACCGAAAGTTACTGGGCTAAAGACAGTTATTTAGCAATGCCAACAGGGTCAATTCAGCAACATGTATGCACCCAGTAGTGCATCAGAATACAAGAAGCAAATGGAAGGGACTTGGAGGAGAAATTACAATCCAGGGTCAATTCCCTATCATTCCTGACAGATCCAGCAGGGGGAAAACAGAGGACGGTTGGGCTGACTGTTCAGTAATCAACACAACTGAATTGACATTCAGTAGCGGGAAAATAAATTTTTATTCTTGTAAACAACATTCATTCGAGGGGCCTGGTGACTCAGTGATTAAGATCACTGGCTGCTTGAGGACCCAGGTTTGATTCCTAGCACCTACACAGCAGCTGACAACCGTCTTAAACCCAGTTCCAAGGGGATCTGACACCCTGTTCTGACCTCCGTGGGCACTGTGTAACATAGGTACACAAACATACATGCAGGTAATACATTCATACACATAAAGTAAAATAATAAATAAAATAGTAAGAAAGAACAGTCACTCTAAAAGACCACATCCTGGGCTATCAAACACATTTAACCACATTTACAAAACAAGTTGGACCAGGGAGATGGCTCAGTGTGGAAAGTGCTTGCTATGAGTTGCAGGCTAACCTTGGCTATATTCCGAAACCTTATTTCAAAAAACAAGCTATGGGCTAGAGAGATGGCTCAGTGGTTAAGAGCACTTGCTATTCTTGAAGAAGACCCAGGTTTGGTTCCCAGGACCTACCAGTTCCAGGGGGATCTGATGCCCTCTTCTGGCCTCCAAAGGCACTAGGCACACATATGGTTTATAAACAACTAGGAAGATAATCACACATACACATGAAAAATAAGTCTTAAAAAACCAGGCATGGTGGTGCACGCCTATCTTTGCAGCACTCAGGAGTGTAAGGGGGAGAATCAGGAGTTCAAGGGCAACACAAGGCAGTGTCTCCAAGCAGTAACAACAGCAGCAAATGGGCCAGAACAAGCATTTGCTAAGTCTGGGTGTGGGCGGTAGTGACGACAGTGCTCCAAAGCTGCACGATAGTGATGTTTGTATGATTTTGTGGATATGTAAAAACGCTGAATAAGTGAGTGACAAGCTATGCGGTTTTTTACAAAGCACATGAGGGCTAGGGATGTAGCTCAGTGGCACAGTGCTTGACCACTGTAAGCAAGACCTGAGTTCCATTCCCAGAGCTTCAAAACACAAAAATCCAAAGGCTAACAAAAAATATGCACCTGAGTTCCTGAGGTCCTCCTTTGTATAAATTTGAAATGATATCCAAGAATGTATTAGTCTCATTTAAAATCTGAAAACCAAAGGTACCTTCCTTTGTGCACCTATCGGTGCGGGAACCTTTGCTCACAAAGGCCTACCTATGTGAAATTCTTGCAGTAGATGTCTCTCTATTCCCCAGACAGATGTCCTTTCTAGAACATGACATTCCCTCCAAGGCAGACAGTTGTAGGCTGTGTGCAGGGTACAGTGGCTCAAGATGCATAGTAGGAGATCACCACCTTCCTCTGAGCTCAGCTTTTACTAGTTCAATGCACACGTACTGCTTTTGTTATGAGCAATTTTATAAAGTCAAAAAAGAAAGCACATATAATTTTCATCTCTGGATTCATATACCCAACCAGCTGCCAAAACTTCTCCTCATGTTTCAAAAGCACTCAAACATTATATGAAAAAGCTATTAGATACGTACTATTTTATAAGCTTATTGAAAAATATAATCATATGGGCTGGAGAGGTGGCCTATAATTTAAGAGTGAGTAGTGCTCTTCAGAGGATCCAAGTTCAGTTCCCAGCACCCAAGTTGGGCAGCTTACAACAAGCTCAGCTTCTGGAGGATTTGACAGCTCTGGCCTCTATGGGAAGTTGCCCTCACATTCACATAATGCCACACAGACACACAGACACAGACACACAGACACATAGACACATGCACATATGAAATTAAAAATAAAGTAAATCTTTAAAAATATGTATGTAATTGCAAAAACAAACCTTCAAACAAAACAAAACCCACTGAAACAAGAGGATTAATTTGAGTAGGAGGGAGGACAAGACAGGGCAATAAGGGGGATACAATCAAATACTTTATATACAGTATGAAAATGATCATGAAACCCATTACTATGCATAATTAATACATGCTAAAATAACAATACTAACTACAAACAAATACTCAAAGTCTCCAGAAAGACACAGACGTACCTTCAAATCTGCCTCATCTTCTATGTCCTATTTCGGCAGCCGGCCTGCCAGAGGGTCCTTGCCTGGGGTGGTCACATATGGCCTCTCTCTGTGTACCCTGTTCCCTCCTGACCTCATTTATCACCCAACCCATCAATATTTTTCCTAACTAAATCCACTCCTCCACTTCCTTTGTATTTACTTCTCTGTCAGAGCCACTACTGCTGCTCTGGCCCTCCACCCGCAGGGATGGAGTCCAGATCATGCTGCTCTGTCTTCAAAGCTGGTTTCTTCAATCACTCCCCACATTATACTCACAGGGAGTTCTCTGTGTGTTCCCATCAACATTTTTGTGACTTTGATGTTGAGGCTGCCCACCTCTCTGTACAATGCACATGCTCCTGATACACAGTTGTTTCAGTAGTGTCTTTTCCATCCTTCCCTCCCTCTAGTTGCCTGTCCAGCCCGCTCCAGGGCACCTGGCTTGTCAATTCTCTCCTGTCAGCTAGCTTTGTAAATTCTATTCCTGGTCCCAGTTCCTGATGCACCTACCTCTCTTATCTCACCTACTTCTCAGATCTCAGATCTCAACCTAAGGGTCTAGGCTTTGAAAAACATTTATTTATTTAGTGTGTATGTATGTGCACATACAGAGGTTAGAAGATAACCTGTGGGGGTCTGTTCTCTCTTTACACTATGTGGATGCTGGGAATTGAACTCAGGTCATTAGGCTTGGTAAGAAACACCTTTATGTGCTGAGCAATCTCATGGTCCCAAGGATCTAGTCTTTATCCCTTCTTTGACTTCCTCCATTCTTGGAAGTGGAGCATTTGAAACACTGGAGTCCAGTGTGTGCACTTAACTGTTTTCTGTCTTCCAATATGGGCTTCCTATATAGACTTTAAGTCCAAAATGAAAGACCTTCATTTTATTTTGTCTCTATATCTAATGACTGGAACATAGCAGACATTCAATAAAACACCGAGTAGTGAGTCTAAAACAGTATGACATTTAAGACAATAGAAATCCTGCTTCTAATGAGAGGGCCACCCACCTTGCACACTGCAAATAGAGTTGACAGGCGTGAGGGAGTCCAGTTCATCCAGCATCACTGGGCCGGTTAGCTCACAGGGACCGGCACCAGAAGGCATACACAAGACAGGCTTCTGAGGTAAGAGGACTGTCCGTTCAACACAAACAATCCGACCTGCCAACAGAGACACTTCAGATTATTGACCCACTGAAGAAAAGTGTGACCTCTCCAGCCAGTTTCCTTCATCAGCCTCTCTGCAAGCTGTGTAGGAAGAAAGACACAGATGAGTGGCCCACTCCTGACATCAGGTACGTCCAGCGTCTAAGGGACACATGGAAGTATCTTAAAGCCCCCAGTGAACTATAATGAAAAAGATCACAGCTACTACATTCAAATTCAATTTGAAAGCATGAAATTTGTGGTATGCAAATTATACCTCAATAAAATATAAAAACCAAAGTTTAGGTAGGATATTAGTTTTATCTCTAGAAAAAGGGCAGAGTAATCTAAAGCCTATACTTTTTGTTTTTTGAGACAGTGTCTCACTATGCAACCCAGGCTGGCCTCTGGAATTCTTAATACTCCTGTCTCAGTGCCCTATGTTCTGGGAGTACAGGCCTGGGTCACAGTGCCAGGATTAAGCTGGTACACCTACTATGTTCTTTTTCTGTTTTGTTTTTTTTTTTTTTGTGTGTGTGTGTGTCTTTTTTGAGACAGGGTCTCCCTATTGCCCCAGCTGATCTGAAATTCACTATGTAGACCAGGCTGGCCTTGAACTTACAGTGATCTGCCTGCCTCTGTGTCCTAAGTGCTGGGATTTAAGGTATGTGCCACTACGCCTGGCCATGTTCTAATTTTTAAAAAAAATTTAAAAAGGGACCATTCAGGCTGTGACTGTGGGTGGCTCCTACATGGACACACTGCATCTTGGGGTGCTGGCTGTGATCAGGTGGCTTTGACAGAGTCAGTGAGAGCCCAAGGTTGAGGAGATGGCCTCCCCTCCTTCAGACCACGCATTCCCTAGGTTTTGTGAAGGCCAACAGTTCTGAGCAGGATGGAGTTTCCTGCACTGTATAGGACTAATCTGTCACCCGAATAGAAGCAAAGGGAAGCAGGCACACCGTGGTCTCGGAGAGCATCTCTGAAGAGCAGGGCACCAGGCCTGGCCATGGCAAGCGCTTCTAGAACTTCTGGGCTCAGCACACACAAGGGGGTCACACAGACCGGCAGGGTTCTGGGAAGACAGTGGTTATTCTTGTCCTGTGTCTGCAGGGTAACATCAGTCACCAGCAGCCAAATCTCCGTTTGTTCCAAAGGAAGCAAATTCTTCAGCTACAATGTAAAAGTCAAAACTATTAACTATGCTTGTATCCAAAATCCTTTAAAGGCAAATAATCTTAAATGGATTAATAATACTTGTAATTTAACACACTATATCAAAATACCTCAAAACATACAATAAAGGTGACATATCTTGGTTAGTAGTGCCCATTAACATTGCTGCTCTGGTTCTGTGCCTGTTTAAAGGGCTCCTTTGCTGGGCACAACCCAGGCCTCACTGGCAGGGCTCCGCTCTCCTTTCTCCTACTTGGGGGGAACGCTCATTCTTTCCCTCCCAGTCCCAAGTCTGTGTACCTAGAATGCTATTTTCTGTTTAGTGTGTAAATGTTCTCTCTGGAGAACAAGTTTCCCAGAGAGGAATGGCCTCACATGACCTTGCAGAGGACTTTGGTGTCACAGATTTACTGCATGTGCAGCAGCTTTCATTTTTCTTAATTTTCTCTTCCTTTTTTCCCTCCCCCCCTCATTTATAAGTTGTGATGCATTTCCAATTTCTAGTAAACTTGCATTCTGGATTTTTTTTTTTTTTTTTGGTTTTTTTTGACATAGGGTCTCCTGTAGCCCCAGCTGGCCTGGAACTCACTATGTAGACCAGGCTGGCCTCAAACGCACAGAGATCTGCCTGCCTCTGTCTCCCAAGTGCTGGGGCTAAAGGCATGTGCCACTACGCCTGGCAGTAAGCTGGCATTCTGTGGGGTGACCACAGCCTGGCAGTCAGAATGCAAAGAGGAACCTGAGGTGAGCTGCAGTCAGGGTGGAGAGAGCTTTGCATTCCCTTGCTCCTATGCCCTGTGTTATCAATGCTACCCTTGATTCAACTGGGAGCCGGACCCGAATTAGAGGAGCACTTCAAGAAGGACCCTGTGCCTGCCCAGGAGCCTGACAGGAGCCGGCCAAACTCACCCTGAAGGAGGAGCGAGTTGAGACTTGGCTCCCCCAGTGCAGGCATAAGTAGCTATGCAAGCAGCTGCACAGTGACAAGCCTACAGCGTCCATGAGTCCTTCACCATCACCAGGCCCAACCGCTGTCCTACAAGTCCAGGTGCTTCTACCACATCTGCCCAAAGCTAGCCTGGAGAAACTCTCCACCTGAGGATTCCTCTCTGGTCACCTTCAGAGAGCCCCAGCCCTTAGACCTCTGGCCTGCAGCCCAGAGAGCACAGGGTCAGGTATAGGCCCAGGGCTGGGGCCCATGTTCTGAGCTTCAACCCTCACCAGGCACTCCAGGGCTCCCTGCAGCTCTAGATGCCTCTGGAAACTCTGTCTCTACCCTGGGTACAAAGGCAGAGACAGCATGGCAGACAACCATACCCTAGAGTTTCTGAGTCTACAGGAGGGATGTCCTATATACTCCTCAGGGCCACGTCCAGCACCCTATTCTGTAGGTGGGTGATTGGTGGTGTTCAGTGTTTTGGAGGGATTTTTTGAGAGGTCTCCTGTATCCTAGGCTGGACTTCAACTTGGGGTAGCTGAGGATGAGGTAGACCAACTGCTGCCTCCACCTCTGAGTGCTGGGTTCCAAGGCTACATCGCCCTGCCCATTTTGGTTTAATATTTATTTTGTATCTTTAGGTTGTTTGGTGCTTTTTTTTTTTGGAGGTTTTGTTGTTTCTTACTTCTTTGAGGCAGTTTCATCCACTACCGGGCCCTGGTGTTAATCTTTTGTTTTGTTTTTTGCTTGTTTGGGCTTTTATTTGTCAGTGGCAGAGTGATAATGAAACTTATTCATAGAAAAAAAGAAAGCAGACATCACATTTCATCTGTACAAAGGAAGGAAGGAGGGAGGGAGGGAGAGGGAGAGACAGGGAGAGGGAGAAAGGAAAAGGGAGAGAGGTAGAAAGAGAGGGAGGCAGGAAAGAGAGAAGGAGAGAAAGAGAGGGAGGGAGGGAGAGAGAAAACAAAAACAACAGGAAGTGGGACCAGGCTTTAAAAATCAAAGCCTGCCCCCAGTGACTTCTTCCAATACTTTCTAAAGATTACATAACCTTCCTAAATAGCACCACCCACTGGAGACCAAGTGTTCAAATACAGGAGCCTTTGGGAGACATTTCTCTTTTAAACTACCACAGATGTAAATATATCCAAAGGACAAGGAGGCAGTCTAAATCTGAAAAAAATGAACACCAAAATAAGTAACAGTAAGAGACAACCTACTGAATGAAATCTGCAGCTCCTGTGATTGCCATCCACGATGGGGTGGGACTTTGTGGTGAAAAGAAGTGACTGGTCCTGTGGTTTAGTGGCCCAGTGCTCAGCCATAAATGAAAGAAAACAATCAGATATCTCTATTACCCCTCCAAGGGTCAAGGACTGCCTGTCACTGAAGAGGGGAAAGGTGTTGTGTATTTATTTCTTTGGAATTGGGACACTCCCTCCTGGAGAGAGGAAGGAGGCTCGTGATTCCTAGTAAGCTCTTGTTCTACAAACAAAACAATCTCAAACAGCAGCAAAATAAAACAAAAATCTTCTCAAAAAGTTGAAAAATAATTTACAGACTCTAAGAAAATATTTGCAAATTCAATAAAGGCTTTGTACTTAGAATATATAAAGAACTTTAAAAACTTGCTGGGTAAGGGAGAGTTGATCTTCTTTAAGAGCACTAGTGACACTAGATAGGATGAAGAGGCTTTCACACTGAGAGCCATCAGTTATATAAACTTGGCTTGATAGGCTTTAACATAAAAGACGTGTGAAATTCTGTGTGTGGGGGTGGCTATGGGAGAGTGCAGATAGGGTGCAGATCTAAATATGATTAAAATGTGTGAAATTCACAAAAATTCAATAAAAATATACATTGGAAAAAACCTTAACAGCAAACAAGCAAAACAATTCAGTTAGAAAACAGGCAAACAATGGAACAGATACTTCACCAAAGACAGGACAGGAAAACACACAGAAAGATGTTCGCTATCACTAGGCCTCCGGATGGATCTTTACAGAATTATGTGAACAAGTCTACCTAAAAAGGCTTTGTTATGCACTGAACTTCACCCTCAACTCTCCTCACCCACAAGGAAAGATTCAAGTACCTTACAATAGCACCTATTTGGAAATGGGGTCTTTGTGATTTAGCTAAGTTAAAAGGAGGTCATGAATCCCACTCTAATAGTGACCAGTCTCATGAAGTAAAGGAAACTTGGACACAGTCACACAGAAGGAGGCCAATGTGAGGCACGAAAAGATGGCCAGCCACGTGACTGGAGTGCTAAGCAACTATCTTGGGTCCCAGGAAATGCCACAGATTAAACTGCCAGGAAACAGCAAATCCTGAGGAAGGTAAGAAGCTCGTTCCTGAGGGCAGTCTTCAGACTGCAGGACTGTTAGAAAATGAATGTGTGCCCTTTAAAATACTGCACACCTTTAATCCCAGCACTCGGGAGGCAAAGGCAGGCAGATTTTTGTGAGTTCAAGGCCAGCCTGGTCTACATAGAGAGTTCCAGGACAGCTGGGGCTACAGAGAGACCCTGTCTCAAAAACACCAAAAAAATATTGTTTTTATTATTTTTATTTTATGCATATGAGTGTATTGCCTGCATGTGTGTGAGTACAATGTCATGCAATGCCCTTGGAGGTCAGAAGAGGGTGTCAGATTCCCCTGTAACTGGAGTTATGGACCACTGTTAGCCACCATGTGGGTGCTGGGAATTGGACCTGGGTGCTCTTGCCCATACGTGCTTTTTGAAGTCACCTACTTTTTGGAACTTTACATGCAGCCTGAGGAAACCAACACAGTTGCCTAGTGCATATTCCATGCATGTGAGCAATCATAAAGTACCATGATGACAGTGATGGAGAACATGGTGGTGCAGCAAAGTACAGTGCATGGGGTATGGTGATGGCTACACCTGTGACAGAATTTCACAGATCCCCCTCCCCTGAGTGCACATATGACCGGCAAAACCTTCGACTGTGCATGCTGGTGTTAGACTGTGGTGTTAGTTGTCTTGGTTTCATGCTATGGTTCTGTAGGTGTGAGGTGTGGGTGGACAGTATGTGGGCCTTCTCTATATTTCTTGAATTCTACCTTGACTATGTAATTACTTCAAATTAAAACTTGAGTCATTAGTATAATGGAAATGTGGCTGGATTGTTTTTGATGACTCTGGTGATTGATTTATAGTACCATTCTAAAAGTCAATCCGTATAAAAAGTACAGATGATGAACTTACCTACAGACTGGCTCAGGACTCAGTTTAACCTTAATTTCTCCTTAGGAAATTGGTTTCTGGTGATTTTCTTTACCATAAAAGCAGAATGCAGGAAATATATATATAAAATGTGTGTGTGTCTGTCTGTCTGTCTCTGTGTATGTGTGTGCCTGTCTTAGTGTGTGTGTGTATGTGTGTGTGGGTCTGTGTGTCTGTGTCTGTTACTGGAGAGTGAACCTAAGGCCTTGTGCATGCTCGGTAAGCCCTAACGCTAAGGTACAACTATACCCTTTTTTCTTTTCTTTTTTTAAATCTTAAGGTAGATTCTCAATAAGTTGCCCAGGCTGTTCTTGAACTCACTATGAACTTAGGCAGGCCTTGAACTCATAATCGTCCTGTTTTAGTTTCCCAAGTAGACACGATTACAGGTGTGTGTCACTGGGCCCAGCTGATATATACATTTTGATGTATCAAGAAACCTGTTCTACTGAGTCCTAGGTCCTTCCTTAACTTGCTCTTACACACAAGACCACAGAAAGCCAAGCTGATTGCTCTTTTATGTTGTGAGTCTTTCTTGAGTACAAGGCTGTCAGTATATCTTCCCAGACCCCTGATTTAATAAGACGGAGAACTCAGGTTGTCATTCTCAGTCACTCTGTTCCCTTTCACTGGTCACTGAGTATTTGCTGCCAGCCTGCCTTGCTCTCAGCCTTGGCTACAGCTGGAGGTCACAGCAGGACCATGTGGCACCGCAGCCTCCCCCTGCAGTGTCAATGGCACCAGCACAGTGAGCTTGCCTAGTTTCCTGAAATGCACTCTAGGGACTGCTCAGAGGCTCAGTGTCCTTCTACTAGGCACTCTCTACATTCATGGAAAACCAGGCTTTCAGGGCACTTCAGACTTAGAAGAAAGGTCTTTTCTTTTTTCTTTCTTTTTTCTTTTTTGGTCTTTTTGAGACAGGAACTCACAGAGATCCACCTGCCTCTACCTCCCAAGTGCTGGGATTAAAGGCATGTGCCATTATGTCTGGCTAGTTTCTTTTCTTTTAAAGATTTTCCTGTACATCCCTTTATGAAAGGCAATATGGCTACTTTCATACCGCACAGCAAAGCCAGCTAATAGCTATAGAAAGCTTATGATCCAAGAGCCAAAAATTGACTCTCTGGTCCTTTATAAGAACAGTCTATCCTCTCTTATAATTGAGGAAAAAGTTGGAATACTATGCTTATGATGACACAACTTTAGTGATATATGTATATATATAATCCATCAATAATTCAATTAGAATTTAAGGAACATATTCTTTTAGTAGTTCTATACATCTTTCACTGCCTATGGATTAGAGAATGCAAAAAAAATTGTTTCCAATAGATATCCAAGGAAAAAAAAAAAAACCTCAAAAATACCGCCCCCTGCCCCAAAGAGCTCCAAATATTTCAGAGGAGAATGGCTCCAAGTTTGACAGGTAATATGTAATTAGCTTGGATTTTAGAGGCAGTTTTCTATTAGGGTACACCACTAGTTTCTAAGACATGGTCCTTTTGTAAATTTATGGGGGGGAATTACGATTGAGATTACCTGTGGTCTTTGATAAATCACTGTGGCACAGAAACTGCAGCGGACACCACACTCATCACCCTAAAAAGACATTAACAGAGATTGAAAAGACCACATGAAGCACACAGAAACAGTAAAAGTACTTGAAGAACTTGCTAGAAACATAGACACTACCTGGAGAACTTCTCTTAAGCAGCGGACAACTGGAGGCTGGTAGAGTTTAGAAATGGGGTCTCCTTCAATTATGTCCACTTGTCCCAGACTTGGATGAACTGAGAAGATGTAACAGAACATAGGAGGAGGTAGATAGGTTGTTGCCTGTTTAGAATAAAGGAAAAATCAGAACAAAAATGTATTGTTAAAAGATTCAAATATACTATTAAAATATGCTCTTTATTTTATTTTATTTTATTATTTTATTTTATTTTATTTTATTTTTTGTCTTTTTGAGACAGCGTCTCCCTGTAGCCCCAGCTGGCCTGGAACTCTCTCTGTAGACCAGGCTGGCCTCAAACTCAGAGATCTGCCTGCCTCTGCCTCCCGAGTGCTGGGATCAAAGGTGTGCCCCACCATGCCTGGCTAAAATATGCTCTTTAATATAATATGATTAAGCTTGGACTGGTGGTATAAGTCTGTAATCCTAGCTATTTGGGATGCTGAGGCATAAGGATCACAAATTCAAGGACTGCCTGGGCTATGGAATAACTTCATGGCCAGTCTGGGCATGAGACCTGTATAGCTCATCAGTAAGGTACTTATCTAGCAAGAGGGAAGCCTTAGCTTCAGTCCCCAGGACTAACACACACACACACACACACACACACACACACACACACTCCACATGGACACACACACACATACATACACAGAGTGCATATTTGCTTACAGATATATATTCTCACTGGAAGGCTATATAAGAAATGGATTGGGGCTGGAGAGATGGCTCAGCAGTTAAGAACACTGGTTGTTCTTACAGAAGATCTGGGTTCAAATTCCAGGACCTACATGGCAGCTAACAACTTTCCGTAACTCCAGTTCCAGGGGATACTGACAGCCTTTTCTGTCCTCTACGGGCATTGCACGACACGGGTGCATTTACCTACATGCAGGCAATACTGGCATACACATAAAATAAAAATAGTAAATGTTTTTTTAAAAAGTTAAAAATAAATAAATGCACTTAAAGTCAAAATTGTAAAAGAAAACAAGGTCAATATATGATGATAAAAGGACCAATTCATCAGGAAGATATGATTATAAAAATATATACACTCAGTATTGAGTATTGAGTATCACATCAAGACATTTTTATATATAAAGCAAATAATGAATCTGAAGACAGAGATTGAAATACAGTAACAATAGGGGACTTTATGGTATACTTTCAGCAATGAACAGATCAATAACGGGGAAGCACTAACTGGACTCTGGGATTTTTTTTTTCTTTATAAAGAACACATGAAGTTGGGAGGGAGATATGTTGAGGGAGGTTTGGGAAAACTGCAGAGGGGAAATGGGAAGTGGATATGATTAAATTACATTGTATACATGTGTGAAACTATTAAAGAATAAATTAAAATATTATTTTTTAAAGGAAGTGCCAGGTTTTGTGAAATACTGTCTTAAAAAATTCAGGTGGAAGCCAGACGTGGTGGTGCGTGCCTTTCATCCCAGCACTTGGGAGGCAGAGGCAGGTGGATCTCTGTGAGTTCAAGGCCAGTCTGGTCTACTTAGTGAGTTCCAGGCCAGTTGGGGCTACAGGGAAACCCTGGGGCTCTGGAGCGTGGTGCCTTGGGAAGAGCCAACTGTTTGGCCTTTCATGTTCTCCTTGACGCTGTGGGCCAAGGCTGCCGTCCTCACCACGCAGTGGGGAAGACACGCAAGGAATTTGCATAAGACAGCTGTACAAAATGGTGCTGGAGGAGCCTTATTTGTGCACAGAGATACTCTTGAGAATAACCCAGATACTCCATTTGATTTCACACCAGAAAACTATAAGTGGATAGAGGCAATTGTAAAAAACTATCCTGAAGGGCATAAGGCAGCAGCTGTGCTTCCAGTCCTGGATTTAGCCCAAAGGCAGAATGGATGGTTGCCCATCTCTGCTATGAACAAGGTCGTTGAAGTTTTAAAAGTGCCTTCAAAGCCGGGCGTGGTGGCGCACGCCTTTAATCCCAGCACTTGGGAGGCAGAGGCAGGCGGATCTTTGTGAGTTCGAGGCCAGCCTGGTCTACATAGTGAGTTCCAGGACAGCTGGGGCTACAGGGAGACCCTGTCTCAAAAAGACAGAAAAAAAAAAGTGCCTCCAATGAGAGTATATGAAGTAGCAACTTTTTATACAATGTATAATCAAAAGCCAGCTGGAAATCATCACATTCAAATCTGCACTACTACACCTTGCATGCTTCAAAAGTCTGACAGCATACTGGAGACCATTCAGAAAAAGCTGGGAATAAAGGCTGGGGAGACTACACCTGACAAACTTTTTACTCTTATAGAAGTGGAATGTGTAGGGGGCCGTGTAAACGCACCAGTGGTTCAAATAAATGACAACTACTATGAGGATATGACACCCAAGGATATAGAAGAAATCACTGATGAGCTCAAGGCTGTCAAAATTCTAAAACCTTGGCCAAGGAGTGGACGTTTCTGTTGTGAGCCAGCTGGAGGTCTCACCTCTTTGACTGAACCACCCAAAGGACCTGGCTTTGGTGTGCAAGCAGGCCTCTAATTTATATTCAATTGTAAAGATACCACTGGAAAAATAAAATATGATCCTCCTATCTACCAAAAAAAAAAAAGACCAAAAAAAAAAATTCAGGTGTAGAAGCCACTGAGAAATGACATTCTGATATCAACCTCTGGCCTCCACATGAACCTGCACACACATGTACACACACACACACACACACAGATATACAGACACACATAGAGTCATTTCTAAAATGAAATCTTAAATCTGAACAAAAATGTAGAGGTTCTTATGGGTGGTCCCCCAAATGTACTATATTACCCATTTCTGGGCTGGTGTACATGCCTTTAATACCAGCACTTGGGAGGCAGAGGCAGAGGCAGGTAGATCTCTGTGAGGTGGAGGTCAGCCTGGTCTACATAGCAAGTTCTGGGTCAGCTGGGGCTACAGAGAGACCCTATCTCAAAAAAGAAACAAACAAAACAAAAACTCCAACTCCCCCAAACCAAAAAACATTATTACCAATTTCTTATATAGCCTTCCAGTGAAAACATGAGCAAATATGCACTCATATGTGTGTGTGTGCATGTGGGTGTATATGTCCACGTGTGTGTGTATGTATGTGTCCATGTGTCTGTGTGTGCATGTGTGTATGTATCTGAGTGTTCGTGTATGTGCGTTGTCTGTGTTCCCGTGTGCATATGTTCGTGTATGTGTGTGTCTGTGTCCGTGTGCGTGTGTCCGTGTGCGTGTGTGTGTGTGTGTGTGTGTTATAGTACTAGGGACTGAAGCTAAGGCTTTCCTCTTGCTCAGTAAGTGCCCTACCACTGAGTTATATAGGTCTCATTAAGCTGCCCAGACAGGAGCCCAAAGCGGTCACTGGCCAGCTTCTAGACGAGGCTCGGGGGCAGAAGATACCTTTTTGTCCCTTTTGCTGCTTCTGAGACACCACAGACGGTGTGATGAGATAGGAAAAAGGAGATTCCTGGCTACCCTGGGCTGCAGGGCTACTTACGGATTCTATCTAGTCTCTGCCCTAATTGGTAACGCCAAGTATTGGTTTTGTGAGTGACAGGAAGGGAGTGGGAAAAACACTGTGTCTGCTTTGTATAAGGCTTAGACCACTGCAATGGAGTGTGAGGTCTACCAGGATGCAGAATGGTAGCTCACACCTGTAACCTCAATACTTAGGAGGCTGAGGTAAGAGGATTGCTGTGGTTTAAGGCCAGCATGGGCAGGGAGCGAGTTCTAGGCCAGACTGGGCTGCAGAGTGAGACCTTGTCTCACAAAACCAGAAATATAAATAAAAACTCATCATGAATTAATCTGAAAAGCAGGAAAAGGAGCCAGTTGTTGGCCATGGAGACGAGGAGATGTGATCTCAGTCCCAGACTGCACTCATCCATCAGTCCAGAGGAACTAGCTGCGCTCTCCTTGTTGCCAGGGCCATACAGTTGCTGTAGGGGAGCCTGGCTCAGCTCCTGACAAGGGAAGTAGTCTGCAGCCAGGGGAACTCTCCAAACCCTGGACTTACCTCTTCACTAGGCTGGCCATGACCAGGCATTGTCAGAGGCATCACTGGGGGCCATATGGTGTCAATCAAACTGAAGAGCCCTGGTGTTCTGGAACAAGAAGAGACACTGTCAGAAGCATTCACCAACTAACATCGCCTATTGAGTGCCCATCAATGAGCTATTCAGCTACTTAGCAGGCATCATCTCCCAGGCCAAAGAGCTATAATTTGAGATGACCAGTGACTCAAATGGGCATCTAGACAGACACACTGCACAAGAACAGGACACTGTCCTCTAAATTATGATGCACCTCTATGTGACGTATTATATTGAAATGGTTGTGTAGAAACACTTGAGAAACAGGGGTGTATGTGTGTGACACCAAGGCTGAGACAGGAAGATCCTAAATTTGAGGACAGACAGCCTGGCTACAAATAACAAGAAAAAATAAAAACAAAGGTGAAAAATCACAATAATCATAAAAGTCTTAAGGATACAGATACCTTGCTATGTGAAAGACAAGCAACAAATTAAAAAGTGTCTATGAATGACGGGAGAAGCCTGTCGAGTTATCTAAGGAAGGCTGACAGCCACTTCTTTCCTTTGGCTTGTTTCCTATGTACACATATATGACAGTTATATAAAATATTCATACATGTATAAAATATACACATTTATGATTAAAATATATAAATTCATATACATGATTATATATACTTTTTATTTATTTACTAGGATTGTTTGTGCATAATGCGCAAGCATACGTGTGTGTGTGTTGTCCATAGGCCACAGTGCATGTATGGAGGTCACAGGACAACTTTGTAGAGTCAGTTATCTCCTGCCACCCTTATGTGAGTTCTAGGAACTGAACTCAAGTCACTAAGCTTGTGCTGCAAACACTTTTTACCTGCTGAGCCATGTGGCTTGTCTCTTGTTTCTGGTTTTTAGGCCTGGCATGGTGACACAAGCCTTTAATCCCAGCACTCAGGAAGCAGAGGCAGAAAGATCTCTGTGAGTTCGAGGACAGCCTGTTCTACATAGCAAGTTCCAGGACAACTAGGGCTACACAGTGAGACTCTTCCCCCCCATTCCCTCAAATTACAATGTGTGTATATATGTATGTGTGTGTGCACATGCATGTGTGTGTGTGTGTGTGTGTGTGTGTGAGTGTGTGTGTGTGTGTGTGTGTGTGAGTGTGTGTGTGTGTGTGTGTGTGTGAGTGTGTGTGTGTGTGTGTGTGTGTGTGTGTATGTGATGTCAGAGAACAGTCTGTAGAAGTCAGTTCTTTCCTTCTTCCATGTGGGTTCTGGGGGTTGAACTCAGGTTGTCAAGCTTGGTGGCAAATGTCTTCACCCACTGAACCCTCTCATTGGCACATTATTTTTTGAGACAGGGTCTCATGTAGCCCAGGCCTGCCTCAAACTTTCCGTGTAGCAAACTCTATTGCTATGAGGAATGCCTTGAACTTCTAATCTTCCTGCCCACATTTCCCAAGTGCTCCATCACAGGCATGCATCACCACAACCCATTTATATGGTGCTGGGATGGAACTCAAGCCTTTGGGCATGCTAGGCAAATATTCTACCAACTGAGTTATATGTCCAGCCCTATTTTTATAAAACAGATATACTGACATATTTCAACTTATGTACAATCAGGCTATGTCCTAATAAACCCACTATAATTCAAAAATTATATGTCTAAAATACATCTAGGGACTAGAGAAATAGCTCAGCAGTTAAGAGCACTTGTTGGTCTTGCAAAGACCTGGTTTAGGTTCCAAGCACCCATGTTGAATGGCTCACAACCACCTGTAACTCCAGCTCTAGGGGATCCAGCGTCCTCTTCTGACCTCTGTGAGTACCAGGCATACACATGGTGCACATACATATATGCAGACACGCACATATACACATTAAAAAAAATCTTTTTTTTTTTTTTGAGACAGGGTAGAAAAAAATCTTAAAAAAAACCCCAAATGCCTAATCTGTCTGAACTCTTGAGCACCACAGCTAGGCAGCAGAGTCAGGTACTCCCTGTTAGGACTGAAAAGTTGATCGGCAGCTGCAATCTTTGAAAAGATCAAAGTTTTAAGTTCAAGCCAGATGTGGTAGCTCACACCTGGACTGCTGACCAATTCCAGGTCAACCTGAAATACACAGTGAGACTCTGTCTCCAACTCCTTTCCCCTAAAATGTTTCTACTGAATGCATAATATCAAGAAATTATTAAACTGAACCACTGCTTGTACATGAAGAAAAACTGTCTAGCATAGTGCCCAGCATGGTGGCGCACGCCTTTAATCCCAGCACTCAGGAGGCAGAGGTAGGCGGATCTCTGTGAGTTCAAGGCCAGCCTGGTCTACATAGTGAGTTCCAGGACAGCTGGGGCTACAGGGAGACCCTGTCTCAAAAACACAAAATCATATATTTCTATCTCTATCTCTATCTATCATCTATCTATCTATCTATCTATCTATCTATCTATCTATCTATCTATCTATCTATCTATCTATCATCTAATCTCCAGCATACAGGATGGACAAAATTCTGTGATTCTGCTTACATGTTCTTACCTTAGATCTGATTGTTTCCAAAACAAAATGGACCTTTGATCTGGCCCCTTGTTAAAGAGGGAGAGGAGCCACCTGAGTTCTGTTCTACTGGGATCATAAGGCACTGTGAACCCCTGTATTTCCTCTTCTGTAAAATGGTGAGAGCTGCAGTATTACTGCGAGGAGTAACAGAAATGGGCAAGGGCTGAGTATGAGACCTTGGGTTCCATTCTTGGCACTAAGCAAATGGGGTCTGGCAGCATACACCTGCAATTCAAGCACTCAGGAGGTGGAGACAGGTGGAGAAGTTCAAGTAAGCTAGAGGCCAGCCTGGGTTTCATGAGACCCTGTCTTAAAAATAAAAAAAGCACCTATGTGGCACCTAAGAGAAATTCTATGCCCAGAGCAGACACCCAGCATGCTCACCATCTGCTACTGCTACAGTCGAGGTCGCTACTGTGAGAGACATACTATGCTGTTTTGACTTAAGTTTTTCTATTTTAAGTAAATTAAGAATTTTTTTTAGGGGGTGAGACAGAGTTTTCCTATGTAGCCCAGGCTGGCCTGGAACTCTGGATCCTTCTGCCTCCAGAGTGCTAGCATTACAGGGGAGTATGACCACACCCTACTCATGCCAGCCTTTTATCTTAGAGTTCTTTATGAAAGAAAAGAGTACAATGAGAGTATAAGAACTGAGTGCAAAAGATGCTTTTGCTGGGTGTGGTGGGCCACACCTTTAGTCCCAGCACTGGAGAGGCAGAGGCAGGCAGATCTCTGTGAGTTCAAGGCCAGCCTGGTCTACAGAGCAAGTTCTAGGCCAGCTGAGGCTACAGGGAAACCCTATCTCAAAAAAAAAAGAAAAAGAAAAAGAAAAAAAAAGAAGTGTTTTTGTAAACAACAGAAAAACTAAGGGTGGTATGCAGCTCAGTGGTAAAGCACTTGCCCCAAGCACCACCAAATAAATAAGAAAACAAAAACCACCCCTCTTAGATAGGACAAAGTGATTATCAAACAAGTCCAAGCCATGAAAACAGGCTTCTGTGGTCAGCTCAGGTTGTGTGCAGCATTCTGTGGTTTGGCTGCATGAGCTCCCCACTATTGCTGAGGGGTGGAGGGGACTGTAAAGTGAGAGTGAGGGAAATGAATAAAAGGCACCTGTGACAGCCTGCTAAGCCAACATTTCTTCAGCTTGTAACTGTTTGGGGAGGTTATGGAACTCTGAGGATATGGAGCCTTGCTGCAGGAAGGACATCACTGCAGGAAGACTGGGAGTTTTAGAGCCTTACTCTTCTTCCAGTTCACTTTCTGCTGCCCTTGTACAGCTGACATGCAATCTGTCAGCTTCCTGCTCTGTTCTTTTGTCATGCCTTCCCTGCAATTATGGACATCTAGCTATCTGGAAATGTATTGCTTCTGGTCACAGTATTTTATCATAGCAACAAAAAAGTAATTAATACAAAAGTTGGTACCAGAAGGTGGGGGTGTTATTGTAAAGAACCTGACCATGTTCGTTTTTTGAGGAAGGTAGAAGATTTTGGAACTTTAGATTACAAAAATGGCTGAATGCTTCAAGCAGAGCTCAATGGGCCATTCTAGTAAGGAGCCGGCCTGAATCCTGATGTTTAAGAAGGGAATAAAGGCTGTATTAGCAAATGGGCTAGAGGCCATTCATGTGATATTTTGGCAAAAAGTCTGGCTGTTTTCTGCCCATGTTCTAAGAATTTGCCTAAGACTAAACTAAAAAGTAACAGACTAATTTCTTTGGCAGAGGAAATTTCAAGACAGCATGACACTGGGTCTGTGTAATGGTTATCACTGATTACTCTTATGCAGGTCTACAGTGAAAAACAGCAAGCAGGGCAGAAAGAAATACAAAACGTACAGGAGAGAAAAAGAGGCTTTTTTTTGGGGGGGTCATTTTGAGACAGGGTCTTCCTGTAGCACCAGCTGGCCTGGAACTTATTATGTAGACCATGTGGGCCTGGAACTCATCAAGATCCACCTGCCTCTGCCTCCCAAGTGCTGGGACTAAAGGTGTGTGCCACCACACCCAGCCACATCTGGCTTTTCATGTGAGTTCTAGGATCAAACTTGGATCATTAGGCTTGTGTGACTAGTGCTTTTACCCACTAAACCATTACGCCACCCTGTCATGCATTTTGAAATCAAGTACATTGACTCTTTCCAATTGATTACTTTTCAAAACTGTTTTATCTATGATAATTCCTTTTCCTGTCCATATAAATTTAACACCTACAATCTTTTATTTCTCTGGGATTTTAATGGGCATTTCATCAACTCATATGTCCTTTGGGGACAGCTGATGTGTTTACAATGTTGCATCTTACAGCCTATGAGCACAGCATGCCTCACAATTTTTTCTGATATCTTTAATTAATATGTAATTTATAATGTACGGACTCTATGCATATTTTATTAGACTTATGCATAATATTTTATTTTTTGAGTAAGTAAGTAATGTTAATAAAGGCTTCATTTTTTCTAAGCCTTCATTATTAGAACATAGGAATCAAATTGATTTTTACATGTTAAC